GACTGAATCATTCTACAATACTTGCAACCACTCAATTAACATTCAATAGCAATCATTCTAATTTGATCGAAACACGAAGAAAATAAAACATATTTATGAACTGACCTAGTAGTCTTTAAGTGATTTGAATGCAAGAACAACGTTGTCTAGTTTTCCTGAAATAAGATGAGAGAAATCATACAAATGAGAACATAAGATGCAGATTTTATAAACACATGGAATGCAACATTTGAACACCAAATAAAACTATTGAAAACTTGCGCAGTCACAATCCCACATACCGTTCTTCTCAGGAGAACAACAGAGAGCACAATTGCACCATAATTGGTTAGCTTCACAGAGAAATCTCCCCTCTTCAATTCATGAATTCCAACCTTTTGATTTGCCTCAGAACAATAAAAAACCAACGGCAGCAAGTGAAGAAAACACCAAAACATGATAGATATCTCAGGCATTGTATTGTAGGCGAACAATAAACCCTCTACCACCATCAAAATGCTTGAATGTGATGAATTATATATAGAAGATAATCAAGATTGAGATAAGATTATTGCTGATAGTGGATAATGGTATGATTATATGTTTGTTGGAGATGGGAGATAAGAGCAAATTTCGAAACAAACTGGATTTCAATTGAGCAATATGTTGTTGTCATATTTGACTTAATTTGAAATTTAAAATTTATGAATTTGAATTAATATCAATCATTAAACTACCAAATATAATATGTGGGAAATTTATTTGGTTTGGAAATTCTACATTTATAGAGGGAAAAAAAATCTGCAATTCTGACCTCATCTTTGGGCAATTCAAACTTCTGTGCGCCTGCCAGTAAATATACTATGTTCGCAATTGGTGAAAGGTTCATTCCCATTTTCTCTACTTCTTGCTCATGATCTGAATTTGTTGTCATTTGAAACTCATATGATCCTCCATAACTGCCCCATAGCTGCTTGTAGATTAATCAAGGGGTTAACTTAATAAAGTTGCAGCTAAACCAGTGAATTAAGCCTTAACTAGTCCCAAACTTTTTAGATGATTTGGGAAAATACATTGCAATTCTGCAAGCCTCTATCTGCAAGAATATGACGACCAATGCAAACTGTCCTATTTGCCATGGAGCATCAGAAACTTTAGAGCATTTGTTCAGAAGTTGCAACAAATCTCTCTGTGTTTGGAAACTCTATTGGTACCCTACATTGAGTTGCTCACACCTTCGTCCTCCCCTTTAAAGATTGGCTGCAAATAAATCTTAAGGACAGATTATGGCATCTAATCCTATTAACATTGCTAGGGATTGGCATGTGGCTAATAGGTCCATCTCTACCAAACCACCTAGAGAAGATGTTATGGTGGCGTGGAAGTATCCCCTTGAAATTTGGATTAAACTACTGGTGGTAGTTGTCACACTATTGCTTCTCACATTTGCGTTGGAGGTCTCAGAAAGCAAGAGTAATGATAAGACTGACAATACATTGCAAACCCCACATGGACCCCTCCAGTTTTTAGAGTGCACAAACAGAACAGTTCACCTAACACTTAATTAACTCCTGCTGTTGTGTTAGCAAACAAGCATTCTTACACAAAAAAGAATCAGATTCATATATATATGACGATTTTATTAGTTGAAAGCATTTCCTTCTCCCATTTTGATTTGCATTTATTATTCTTTTTCAATGTGAACCAGGGCACTTCACCAGAAGAGCTTACATGGATCCATTCCTAATGAAATTACCAATTGTCCTGAGCTTAGGGCTCTGTAAGTGGAAACGTTTCCTTCTCATTTCTGTATCTCCTTTGAGTTCCCATCTATTTATGTTATATGTCACAAGAATTGAGCATTGCATTCCCCTTTTCTTCTACCTGTTAGGTACTTGAGGGCTAAGTATCTGTAAGGAGGTATAACATCAGTTATTGGAAACCTTTCTCATCTCACAATACTGTAGAACTTTCGTCTTTGTCTTATCCTTTTTGGTTTACAAAGTCTTTGTTACATGCCACAATTCTCCAATTGGATAGTGTCTCAAATTACATAATTGCTTCTACATGTCTTAGGAACTTGTCCACTAAATTCTTCTCCGGGGAAATCCCAGATGTTGGAGTTCTAAGCACTTTTAGGAACAAGTTGTAATCCCATTTGTCATTCAATAAACTTGTCTTGTATATGCTCGTGTTTTCTAGATGTACGTGTAGGTTATAGTTCTGTGCATTTAAGTAAGATATAGGCATGCGTTTGCTCCTGTCAGCCAATCGCTCCTTTAGTGAAGCATTTGGTGCAACAACAAAAAATTGATCAATTTTCATAATATCTTAGCAATGCGCAGCTTCTTTGTTCATAAAGAAAATTGGCTAATAGAAATAGAAACCAAATAAATCAGTTGTGCCCTTCACCGAAACTACCATCGTACCCTTGCGGCATACGGTGGGCCCTAACTTGCCCTTCCCAGAAACTATTATTTTGCCCTCTTCTATTTTATAACAATTTTAATGCTTTTTCAAGGGATCTTCTGTTATATTGTGGCAAATGGAATAAGGCAAAAATTATAAATAAAAAATCAATTATTAATTCCAAAGTTATCTTTTGAACTTGTGGTGGGTCAACATATATTTTGGGCTTTTATATTCACTTATGATTATTGTAATTAATAAATACACTAACCAATGGAAAATTTGGGAAATATATTGAAATAATCACTTTTCACAAATGTTATTCTAAAATGATCACGTTACAAATTCTATTAGGATATAATCACTTTGGGATGTGAAATTACCCAAGTGCCCTCCATATAAATACATATCTATTGTGGAGTTATTGGGCATTGATTGGCTACCTAACACTTCTGACTTCTTTCTCTGTCTCAGCTGTCTCTCACGGTTTTCTCTTCCTCTCTCCGCGCTCTCTCTCCATCGACCACGACGACTCTCTTTCTCCCTCTGTCGCGAAAACCTAAGCATCACTCTCTTGTTCTCTCTCTGCAGTCAAAGTTAGGTTTTGTTGAGGGGGTTCTTGAAAAATGATCACGTTACAAATTCTATTCAGATATAATCACTTTGGGATGCAAAATTACCCAAGTGCCCTCCATATAAATACATATCTATTGTGGAGTTATTGGGCATTGATTGGCTACCTAACACTTCTGACTTCTTTCTCTGTCTCAGCTGTCTCTCACGGTTTTCTCTTCCTCTCTCCGCGCTCTCTCTCCATCGACCACGACGACTCTCTTTCTCCCTCTGTCGCGAAAACCTAAGCAGCACTCTCTCGTTCTCTCTCTGCAGTCAATGTTAGGGTTTGTTGAGGGGGTTCTTGAAGGTGGAAGAGTGGGTTTCTTCGTTAAATGCTCTCTCCCTTTAACAATCTCTCAGTTCCCTCTCTTTTCATGTCTTCAATCGACGTCTTTCTCTTCTCCTCTGCTCCTTTGCGGGATTGTTCCTCCTTTTCCGGCTAGCGGGAGGTGGTCCCGGAGGACCTGGTGGGCTTGGTGGGCCTATGGACTTCGGAAGGTCCAAATCCAAATTCCAAGAAGTTCCAGAGACGGGGGTGAGTTTCTCTGATGTAGCTGGAGCTGACCAAGCAAAGCTGGAATTGCAGGAGGTGGTTGATTTCTTGAAGTACCCAGATAAGTACACTGCCCTTGGAGGCAAAATCCCAAAAGGCTGTCTTTTGGTGGGTCCACCTGGTACCGGCAAGACCCTTCTGGTTCGGGCCGTGGCCGGCGAGGCTGGAGTGCCGTTTTTCTCTTGCGCAGCTTCAGAGTTCGTGGAATTATTTGTGGGAGTGGGTGCGTCGAGAGTGCGGGACTTGTTCGAGAAGGCCAAGTCGAAAGCGCCGTGCATTGTGTTCATTGATGAGATTGATGCGGTGGGAGGAATGCTTTGATGCAAATTGGTATGTCTTAAGGTTGTCGTAAGAGTTGGCAGAACGACGTTACTAAGTTTTATGCTGAAAAGAATTAAGAAGATTGAAAATCATGTAATTGGAAGATTTTTTAAAATTCCATGCCAATAAATACATAATTGAAACTGCTATTATGATATTTATTTATTTATGTGGCGTTAACATATTAGTGTACTCATCAATAACTGAGTTTGATGTTTCTGTAGTATGTAAGGTTTTTGATTGTGTTAGCAGACATAAGGCTGTTTTTAAATAAAAATAGTAATGTGAGATACCTTAAGAAGGTAAACTGAACACATAGTGAGGCAATGAGTAAGACTATTGGAAGCAGGTAAGCCTTGGTCTTTGTTTTGAAAGTTTTGTGAAATGCCCTTGCTAGTTTGTGTAAGAAATATTTTTCTCCATAACTTGACATGATATAATGTGATAATTTTCACCGCATGGAGATTATGTTTTATGAAGAGTCCTTCTTGGCTTTATGAATTACTTTGACTTCCCTACCAACTATATGTGTATGCTGCAGGAAGGGTGACTCCGGAAAGTGTTATCTTCAGCTTTGGGACTATCCTTTTGGATCTTCTCAGTGGGAAACACATCCCTCCTACTAATGTGAGTATTTTAACATGTCATGCCCTTGTTCTCCACTCAGTCAGTTTGGAATGGACCCATGGTCTGTAAAAATTAAAGTCCAGTGCTTCTGCCAATGAGTTATGCGGAAGTCCATACACTGTATGGTAAATTGGTAATAGAGGAGTTGTTTGTTCAAATGCCTCTTACTCGGAAGTCTTTAGTACTCGGCAATAAGGGGCCCTTTGGATGTATGATCTTTTAGTTTTTAATAAATAATTATGTAGGCTGACTTTGGATTACAGAATCTCCTTTATAATTTATGTTTGTGTTGCAGGCTCTTGATATGATTCGTGGAAAAAACATTATTCTCTTAATGGATTCACACCTGGAGGGAAAATTTTCCACTGAACAAGTGACTCTGGTTTTTGATCTTGCCTCACGATGTTTGCAATATGAACCCAGGGAGCGGCCAAATACCAAAGACCTTGTTGCAACAGTTGCCCCACTGCAAAATAAATCTGATGTAAGTCTTCCATGCCTTTTCTCCTTATGGATGCAATTACATGTTGTTTTCGTTCTGTTCGTTTCTTAAACATTGCCTTTTTGTAAATATTATCACCACCAACATTCTGAACCAAAAGTAGTGCAACTATGCTCCCTAAATAAATGCAGTTTATTTTCTTTATACTTTTAACGACCTTGTATGTTTCCTGTTCTTATCATTCTCTGTCATGCATAATCTCACTCCTTCCCAGTCTGATTTTGTTCCCTCAAAGCAATTTTAACTACCTCTACATTTTCTGAAACATGCTTAGTCAGCAATTTTTTATGATGACGATGCTTTGTAGGTTCCATCTTATGCGATGCTGGGAATTCCAAAGCACGAGGAAGCACCTCCGACTCCGCAACATCCTCTTTCGGCCATGGGCGATGCCTGTTCAAGGATGGACCTCACAGCCATCCATCAAATTTTGTTAATGACACACTACAAAGATGATGAAGGAACCAATGAGGTAATTGGATTGTGCACACGTAGGTTCAGATGGTTCTCTGATGCCTTTCTGAAACTGTTTGTCTTTGTGTTAGTTGTCTTTCCAAGAATGGACTCAGCAAATGAAGGATATGTTGGAGGCGCAAAAGCGTGGGGACTTAGCATTTCGTGACAAAGATTTTAGATCAACAATGGACCGTCACTCTCAGGTATGCATTCTGCAATAGGAGGTAGAGTATGCATTCCTGTCCCCCATTTAACAAGTTTACACTTGATTAGTATTTTGATGCCACAAGGGTCAGGCACTTCATTTTTTCTCTCGTAGATAATGAGTTTCAAATTTGTTAGTATTTTGTGGTACAAAGGACAGGGCTGCTTGTGAATTGTATAAGAAAGTGAAAGGTTTTATGCGATGTTGGTAAAAACCGGTATTCATATCAGACTGTACCTGATAAAAAAGCTGTTTTCGTAAGTAGAAAATAGGATGGCCATCGTAATTTCTTTTAAGGTTATGAGATGAGTTAGGGCACTTCCAGCAGTCAAACCCTTGCCATGGCAAGGGGGGGGCTAAGGCTGACACTATTCACATGAATAGTGTCTGCCCTTGCAAAAAGTAAGTTGCACTTCCAGCGATTAGCTCTTGGAGAGTTGCGAAAGGAAAATAATTTCCTAAGAATCCTTTGGCCAGTAACTAATCCACCTTCAAGTCAAGAACATCTTTTACATCCTCAACTTTTACAGAAGCCTCTCCGCCCATTCCTGGTTCGAAGGTATTTTGATGATGTAGGAGTGTAAAACGTGATTCCATTAAGGATGTCATGCCCTTTTTGTAATATGTTGTATATTATGAATATTTAGTGGGAATGTGGAATGAAATTATAGTGGGAATGTGGAGTTTTTGTATTGCCATTGTATTGCTCCCCTATTGCATTTGTATTGTCATCATATTGCCATTTTAGTGTTGTGGTATTGCTGGAGTTTTTGTATTGCCATTGTATTGCTCCCCTATTGTATTTGTATTGTCATCATATTGCCATTTTAGTGTTGTGGTATTGCTTGGTTATTGCACTTATATTTGTTTCTTATCACTTGTTTTTTCAAGTTTATCTTATGAAGGAACTTATTGGTTATTGCACTTATATTTGTTTCTTATCACCTGTTTTTTCAAGTTTATCTTGTGAAGGAACTTATAAGGATATTTTGTAAAAGAAAACACTTGATCGTGTAATTTTATATTGTAAAGGAAAATGCCAAATTATTATTCATTATCATACAAATAAGGTACAACAAGCACCGTATAGAATTTGTAACGTGATCATTTCAGAATAACATTTGTGAAAAGTGATCATTTCAGTATATTTCCCGGAAAATTTTCCAGGATATTAAGATTGGTCAAACAATTGTCATATAAATACTACACTCTTAGTTTTAGTAAAAATAGAGTAGCTTCTTGTTGGTTAGAATATATATATTACATATGGTTAGTTTGTATATTGCATCACCAAAACTAATTATGCTTTGAATCACAATCAATTACTGAGGGCTCGTTTGGTATCATATTTGGATCTAATTTTATAAATTCAAAAATAGATTTGCCTCAAAACCTGTTTGGTAGGCCCAACCTGAACCCAAAAAAAATTCAAAAACACCCATATTATTAAAAACAAAAAGTGGGTATGTTTATAAAGTGTTTTGGGTGTTGGGTATTTTTATAATTTCAGCCCCCATTTTGGGTATTTTAGTGAAACTCCCTAGAATATATATATTACATATGGTTAGTTTGTATATTGCATCACCAAAACTAATTATGCTTTGAATCACAATCAATTACTAAGGGCTCGTTTGGTATCCTATTTGGATCTAATTTTATAAATTCAAAAATAGATTTGCCTCAAAAACTGTTTGGTAGGCCCAACCTGAACCCAAAAAAAATTCAAAAACACCCATATTATTAAAAACAAAAAGTAAGTTTTCACGGTTTTTTCTCTCTCTCTTGCGCACCACAAAAATTGATAGGGTTTATACCTCACATCTTTTTACTTTTCTTTTGTTAATTTCAATTTGGGGATTAGGGTTTCTGATTTTTTTTATTTTAATTTCAATTTTTTTTATATCTTAAAAATAGTTTGGAGTTCAATACCAAACAAGTTTTTAGGTCTTAAAATCACTATTTGGCAATTTGCTAATCAGCTGAAGATTGTGTTTTGAATTTTGATTGAAGTAACTAATGAACATTTTTATTTTTATTTTGGATTTGGACATTTTATTTCATCAGAGGTATTATTAATCAGAGAAATTTAGAATCAATACTTGTGGTGAACAAACATGGAGATAATTGAGAAAGCACTTGTAAAGATACAAAGGAACATTTCCAATAGAAATTTGCTTTTAATCATTTACTAGCATGCTGCAATACAATATGGGCAACAATGCCACATACTCTTATAGTTATACAAAACTCATAAGAATGCAAAGAGACTAGAAATATAACAATGCTCAACTTCAATTCATGTATTAAATAACATCATAATCCCCATATGTTTCTAACTCAGAGGGATCTACAGTTCTTCCTCAACAATGGAACCATCAATTTTTCCGGACCCAAAGCCGTGCTCGGAATCTTTATAGCAGAGGCAGTGTATCTGGTTTTCGTTATACTTCAACTTCAATGTCCTTGCCATTCCTAAGCAAAGTCCATCCAGATCTCTATTTCCACCACTTCTTCTCTGACAAAGATATAAGCTGTGCGAAAGAAAATGCATAGGGTATTAGTAAGTAGCATTCTACAGTTCTCATCCAACTCCAAAAGAAGTAAAGTATTCAAAGATCTCTAAATGCAAATAATTTTATATTCACAGCTGCAAAGTGTTTCGCAATTACTCTATTTCTAAACAAAGAAAACTTCAGGCTGCTCAAACCATCAGCTTTGAGGAGATCAGGGATAAACAGAAACAATGTGAGAGTAATGTAGGCAAACTAACAGGTGGAAGAAAGGATGGACGACTAAACGATCAAATACAAAACCAATCCGACTCCAAGGCATCTGAAAGCTCAGTAAAACAAACAAACAAGATGAAAAAAGTGTAATGCACTAAAAAATGATCTTCAAGTATCCAAACTACATGGTAATTGATCATTTATGGAAAAATATTAATACCTTGATGAATATTTTAAATCTCATAACATAGATATTGATCTCTAAAATTAGTTTCATATACAAGAGCATTTTTAGGGATGAACAAAGTGACTGACAATCTTGCACAACTAGGGTAATTGGTATCCTAGTCCCAGGATATTGATATGCCAATGCAGCACGGAATTCCAACACTGAACCAGCTTGAGTTCAGCTCAGGTTCACAATATTTCAAGGTTTAAAGAGGCATACTTAATCTTTTCACGGAAGACCCGAAGACCACTCAGATTGACCCTCTCAGTAAATCCCAGTATCCAGCACTAACAACTGAATCTTGCACAATTCTTACTAATTCTAGCTTTATTTATCATATTAAAGTATGAATGCCAGAGGCGACACAAGCAAGCATACGAGCAAAGAGACACACATGACATCAAGTACGCACTAATATTATGTATCCCCACCTGACGAGCAACCTGTGCTAATCGTCGACTTTCCCGAGATGATTCACTCAATAAGCTTGACTTCTGTGGCTCTAGAGAAACATTTTGTTCCTCCCCTGTCTTTCTTTCCAAACTGTCATTGTCAAGAAGGGACAACCTTTCAGGGCTGCTCAATTTCTCCTTCTTGCGCTTTCTGCAGAATGTATATTTAAGAAACTTATTGTCTGCAGGTTGACTACCAGTGCCACCATCTAAATCAGATGCTCTCATATCCGACTTATTTAATGGTTTATTATCTTTCTCAACATCTGTTTTGCAAGCCAGAATCTCCAATTTTTCTGCAGAGAAACATTCCTGTCTGGTCAATTCTGATTCTTCAATGATCATCTTATCATTGTCCATTGCCTTCTGAACACTACAAGGTCTAAAAAACCCTGCATCATTGTCAGTTACGTTAGAACATCCTGACCGTGTACTCATTGCAGTTGTATCTGATAGTAATTTTGGGGTCAAAACAGATTCTGTGACTTTTCGAATTTCATCTTCAGATTTCTTGGAAGCATTATCTGTGAGAGCATTGTTCTTGACTGAAGAAGCAGAAGTAATGGAGCAGGATAGATCTTGGCGCATTTCCTTGAACTGATGAGGAAGATACCTGCATGAGGGAGCTTTGCTCCTCCTATATCTAGCAGCTCTTTTCCTCTTATTTTGAAAGGACTTAAAGGCAGGTGCTTGAATATGGCTACCATCTAGCTGCATCACTTTCGGTTGTTCTTGGTTCTTCTCTACCCCATGCGTATTGCCAACCTTTGGTTTAGGCGTGTTACGCATCCCTTTACCTTCATCATCTCCTCTGATGAATGTTGCATTCTTTGCATCATCAACTAGTCCAGAAAGAGACAAATTTTCATCCAATAGGTTTCTTTCAAATGCACGAATTCTCTGAGTGCATCCATTTCTGTATAACTCAGGCTCTTTACTTCTCATTACTAAAGAGGCAAAATCGGGATTAGGAACATAGTACCGATCCTTAAGAGCATCATTTGCACTGTAGCACCTGCTCCCCTCATATGTCCCATTCGAAATTGAATTCTTTTCATAAGTTGCAACTGCATCTATCTGTGAACTCAGTTGAGATATCATTAACCCTGGAGCAGCAGTATCACTGTCTAAACTTTCCCCTGCCAGAGGCTGTGGTTGATTCTTTGTCACCTTCTCCAGTTGAGTCTGCGCTTCGCTCAACTCTTCCCTAAGGTCTTTCACTATATCCTCAGCTTCCTGGAGCTGTGCTTCAAGTTCGTCAATCTTTTTTTGTTGACTCGAGGACATCATCTTTGCTTCACAAGCCTGAACATATGGCACAATCAGTTACTCAACTCGCTTGATTTATTTCATCAGAAAATTAATAACAAAAGCCTAATAAACCACTTTTAGTGAATCATGTCTTTTTCTCCAAGCAATCCCCTTTAAAATGAAAACCAACTATAACAACAAATTCCATCCTTGATAGAAAACAGGAATTCCCAATAACATATGTTGTTCCTATTGATCACATGTTGAGAACAACACAAGTTTAAAACTAAACAACAATTCACACCACACTGCATCCACAAAAACACAACTTTAACAAATCCCAACTGTATATCCACATTACTTCACCAACAGAGAATGAAAGAACAGTCAAAACCAACATTCAAACAAAATACAAATGTAACAAAAGCAACTTCATTTGAGACCAAACATATACCTTGGAATCCAACATTTGTTTGAGCCTAAGAAGCATCCGAAACGCCTCTTCTTTAGTCGAAAAGAGCTCCCTTTGAAACCTTAGAGCTTTTCTCTCCGACAGTACAATACGTGCCGCCGCCTCTTTCGCCGTGTTGAGGATTATTTCGGCGTAGGCCTTCTTCAAAGCCGTCAATTTCTGAGACAAAACCAAAAACCCACAAAGAATCAAACAAAAACCCACCAAAAAACAACTCAAACAAGACCAAAACAAAGATCGCAATCAACTTTCAAGACCCTCTTTCGAATTTTCAAAAACAAAAAGAGAGAGAAAAAGAAAAGGTAGTTAGTTGGTGGTGGTGATAGAAAGAGAGGGAGAGAGAGGGAGTTTAGATTGTGAAGAGTAGGGCAAAGTCGAAATTACAAGTTCAGACTCCTCCATTTTCGCTAATGCAGAGAAGCCGTTGCTGGTTTTCAAACCAAGTCGTGTCTGG